GGCTACTGTAGAAACATGGCTGATTAACATGGCAGACTCCAGGGAAGGTGACCCACAGTGTCTGTAGATTAAAAACAGCTCATTAAGGTAACAAAAACATAATGATTCTTATTTTCAGGTGATTGCACACGAATAAAAAAAACATCTATATTCTGTATCTGCTAATAGATTCACCTAAATGTTTGACACTGGACCTTTAAGTGCCTGCTGTAATATGTTAAACAAAGCCCACAAGGTAACACTGTGGTTTACTGGGTATGTGAACTACTTTGTTAGACAAAAAAAAAGATTTTTATTAAAATGTGGACAATCTTCAGAAAAGGCATGCTGTAGTGCTTCTTTTATTATCATCACTGTGAAAGCCCCTTTCTTCCTTTTCTCCATCTGTGGGCAGTAACTAGTTAGGGCTCATTACTAGTAATACTATAACAGTATTATTATTACTTTCCCCAGTAACTAGTAGTGTAATTAATTATTAATACATTTCAGTAATAATATTACAGTTACACCCACAGTTGGGATCTGCCATGGGCATGGGCCCTGGACCAGCTGATAATTCTATATAATACTGTACTTGTGCTGTAAGCCATATTTTTATGTTAAAATGTTTAATAGCTCTACATTCCAAGAGCCATCACTGACGCTTTCCTTCAAATGAAACTTGGTGCAGTGTTTTTTTCAATGAATCTCTACAAAGTGTCTGAATTATCTTTTGCATTAATTAATTTATTTGTTTATTTATTTTGCAGCCAATTCGCATAACTTGATTGATGTCCTTAATTGTGTAGGATTTAGTGGCATCTAGCAGTAAAGTTGCAGAACCAACTCGCCTCACCCTTCTCTTCCAAGTGCTTGAGGCCCTATTTAGAGCCAGCATTTGGTTTGTCCTTTTTGGGTGACTGTAGAAACATGGCAGACTCCACAGGACCCACACCCCCTGTAGATAAAAATTCATTCTAACGTACTGAAAACACAAAAGTTCTTATTTTCAGGTGATTATACACTAATGTAAACACACCTATGATTATTATATTCCATTTCTGCCAATTGATCCTCCTAAACATTACACACTGGCCCTTTAAAATACTCTCTTTCAGTTTCCCACCAGGCAATATCAAACAACACAGCCACAGACAATTTTAAACATTTAATTATTTCCCAACAAATAGACAGAAATAGAGACCATGACTGCACACTCTGTCAAGAACAACTGCTGTATACAAAACAATATATTTCAATGTCCACTATAACTGGGTAAAATGTGTCAGTTGTCACACATGCAAATACATGTTTCTCTATGGGAAAAATTAAAATGATGGTTAGAGTTAATTGTTCTGTCTTTCAGGAATGAAAATCATTACATTGTGAAGTTTGGGATCATCATCTCAGTTGCACTGATCAGTGGTACATGTGAAGACTGTACAGTGGGGGTCAGCTTGTAAAATAAAGGTGTCCGACTTCTTCATGCACCTCTTGAAATGTAAGGTCCCTGCAGTGAACAGAAGGACAAAATGATAGTGCTGTAAAACTACAAAATGTCCCACTGGCTTGGAATTTTTGAAAATTACTGTAAACAATAGTAAATTACATTTACATTTAACATTTTCTGTGCTGTTATTTTACACACATAGGTCCAAAATTCACACAAGCATTAATGTATGGAGAGAGATGTCAGAGCCAGTCACCCCGATTTTTTTAAGCAAGCCACCCTCTGGTTCCCAAGACTAGTCCCCACTGATTCAAGTACCTAGTTTTGAACTAATCCGGTGCATTTTACATTAATTGTTTCATGTATTTGATGAAAAACTTGTAGACCTACCGATTTTATTTTTTTATTCTTTTTCAATATTATTACTCTGTTTCATTGTCCAATGCTCTAGCCTATAAAACTTCATCAGTGTAAATGTGTCATTTTCCCTCAGACTCTCTGAGAAAAAGTTATATTACTGGGGAAACACTGCCATCTATTACAGTATTATAACATGGAGCAGGTTTTTCAGCTAAGCATTAATTCTAAAGCCTGACCGATATGGGATTTTTGAGACCATATTGAAATTAGAGGAAAAAAGGAAAAAACTTACCATAATTAATTGCCAATATTATTTGCTGAATTGTGCAGTGAAATGACTCTGCATAGGTGCATAAGGCTTTCTTAAGCATATAGCTTTATTACAGAATATCTAAGTTAAATATTCTTTAACATATTAAACAATTTAATCCATACATTGTCAAGAAGCTGACATTTCTGAGCTGCTTCTCTCTTACTCTGTGCTGCTTGCCACAGTATTGTAAATCGCCATGCACTCTGCTGGATAAAGAGACAGTGTTCATATCAGCCCATATCGGTTCCTGTTACAATACCAATGTGTCTGCGATAGGCCAATATTGGCCGATAATATCAGGTGACTATCAGTCGGGCTCTAATTAAGTCTGTAAACTCTACTCCAGCATAGTTTTATTATTTTATTATGATGCTGGTTATAATACCAAATTCCTACCCTATGGTGTGTAAGTTAACAATATGTTTTAGGGGGCAAAGGTGGAAATTAGTATTATTCAGCATGTGTTGTGTTCTGGTTTCAGAATGATAAAGACTGTTAGAACAATTAATGTCAGACTAAATCAGATGTAGGCTCTTCAGGATGATTTTTGTGTGGGTCTGAATATTTACAACATCCTGCTCTACCCAGGTCGCAAAAACAACTATGTCACTTACGGATGCTATATGCACAGGTGACAGATGCACAGACGTCCTCTTGTCCCTGGCAGGTTTCCACTGTGTTGGTGCATGATGCACTAGACCGTGGGACACAGCGTTTGCACTTTAGAGCCAATGCTGCAAAACAAATGTATATATATATGTATATACATATTGTGCTGCCTTTAAAGTGAATTTAGTAATAAAGTTATTAAAGTAGTATAAAAGTAATAGGTTATTAGTTAAAAAGTGAGTTTAATAAGGTAAAACATTAAAAACATTCCATTTATTTGC